CTACTCCTACTACTACTACTACCTCTACTACCATCACCACTGCTACTATCACTGAGTTACTACTACAACGCAGGGTTGATATCTTGAACTCCCGCTACCTTTGTCATCCGATTTCGAAGAGTCCCACAGAGCTTGCACGAGGCAGCTGGCAAGGGCATGGACATCGAGAAATTTGGTCCCATGAGGTGCGTGCACATGTCGTCGCTGAAGAGGTTTGAGATTGGAGGCAGGTGTTTGTGTGGGCATCCGATCAGTCTTGCAGAGCCTCAATGCTAATTCATGCAAGGTCAACAAACCTTGCCGATTCCGTGCTGGGTGCTCCAGTAGATGGTCCATGTCAGGTCCTTGATAGGTCCTGGTGCTGACAGAGATAATTAAAGTTTTTTTGGTAATATATATATATATATGTCCTGTATTCTACTGTTTACTGTTCTACTTCACGCTGTATGGTAGTACATAGTAGTACATTTCTGTTTTTTACATAACAGTCATAACAGCCTCATGCCATACTTATATTTTGTTATACCATACTATTTTACACTATGCAAAAGTTTACCATACCAGACCATACTAATACTAATGCGAATAGAAGTACTACTTCGCTCTGTTAGACTTTACTCGAATGGACTGCATTATGCTGTACTCTGCTGCACGATGATTCGGTACTGTACTATACCACACCTTAATAGACTATGTTGTGCTATGCTGTGCTATACTATATTAGTATATACTACACGCTATACTATATGCAATTCAAGGTCTATGTACAAAACTGGGTAGTGTACTATGTACTATAATATGTACTACACTATACTATATTCGGTTAATTCTAGACTATATACTATGCTGTGTATTGTACTGTGTACTTCCTTGTATACTAGACTAGACTCTGGCACATCTTAGTATACTATACACTGCGCTACACCACACTGTGCTTTACTGAACTGTATTGTATAGTATCGTCTCGTGCAGTACAGTATAGTATAATAATGTAACAACAATACTAGCACTAGAACTCGTATTCGTGCTGGTACGAGTGCTAGTGCTTTTTGTAGTGCCGATGCGCGGCTAATGTTATTGCTAAGGCTTTGCTATGTTCTACCATTCTTGCACAATACTACTATGCTCTACATCATTAGAGTAGTAAGGACTATACCAAACACCAGTATTCTATACCGCAACCATACAATACAGTGATATGCTATACTGTCGTTTCAACCTGAAGGCGTTTCTGCCACGACCTTATCGTGTGGAACGGCTTCGACACGGTGCGGCTCGCTTGCAAACAGCTCGGAAGACAATGGGGTTCCGGCATGGCGGCTGATTTCGAAGGCGCATGGCTATGGATACTGCAAATGTCTAGCATAGACATCGGCAGTTTGAAGATAATCATCGCACCGCAGGCACCGTCACAGGATGTTATTTTGATATCGGCACCCCGACACATCGACTGCATGTGGCATTCGACAATCGACGACAACTTCGGTGTGCGGCAGCACTGTTGACAGCATCAGAAGCCAGAATTTCTATGCCACCAGCAACACGACTACATTCAACTGGCGCAGCAACAAGTTTGACCACATTGGCACGATGCTCCCGAGCATCGATGCCCACCTACCAGTAGGGTTGTTGCAACACCTCCATGCGATGCGACCCTCTACCCTGTCAACTGAAAGATCGACTCCTGGAAATTGTGGAAAAATTAGCCTCCGGCTTGAAAGTGGTCGATTTTGTTGGGGTGTTTCGATTGGGAGAGTACCCAGCCACGTGGGTGGTTCTCTCGATTGGGGTTCGGGGTTCAGGGATGTTCAGGGTTTTCAGGAGTGTTGGGGTTCTAGGGTGTAGAGGTTATGGGGTTTGATTTAGGGTTTGTTTAGTGTTGGATCCTCAAGAGCTAGCCCGTGCCATGAACATGGTCAGCCATACGGCTGATGGGCAAAATCCTGCATGACCTTATATACCTAAACTGTGGGATTTATGGTACTATACTATATTTGGGTCATGCAGGATTTTGTTCATCAACAGTAGTTCTCCCCTCAACATGGGAGTTTCCGAAAATAAGGTTACCTTATTTTGGGGTCCTTATAATAAGGATCCTATTATTTAGGGTACTATCTTAGGGTCCTCTCTTTTCGGAAACCTCTCAACATGCCACTCTTTGCAGGATCGGCCTGATCATCATGCTCAACGGTGTGACCATCGGGATCCAAGCGCAATACTCTGTGTTGCCTGCATGCTTGGCATCGCGAGCTCGATATGGGGGTTTCCGAAAATAGGAGACCCGAATATAGTACCCTGAATACTAGGATCCCTATTATAAGGACCCATAATAAGGTACTCTTTATTTCCGAAAACTCCCATATAGGGTCAGCCGGACTTCTGTAAACTCTCATGCTGCATGTCAAGTGCATGTCATTGCCAGCTTGTAATCTAGGTGTCGCTTGCGGTACCTGTTGATTTCCATCAGGGTCTTTATATGTATGTATATGTAGATATATATATATATAACCCGCTTTATTCATTTATTTATTTAGTTCATTTGGCTATATTACGTGTAGGTATATATATATATATACATACATATAGAGAGATATACATAGAGTAGTCCATCAGTGAATCAGCCGGAGGGGGAGGGGGGCTTACACTGCAAGCCAATATTTGCGAGTGAATCTCCGATTTGATCACTCCAAGTCATTTAGGAATGCGGCCGGATGCAGGTCGAGGGTAGTTGCATGCTTGGACTCCGGTTGGTTTAGGGTTTAGGGTTTAGAGTTTAGGGTTTAGGGTTTGGCTTGGACGTGTCATGGCAGGCCAGAATCCCGAGACAAGCCGGGTGCAATCCGGATTGCAGCAAATGTATCCCAGGAACCGTTTGTCATCCGCACCCTGGCTTGAGACTCCTACACCCTAAGCCCTTGATTTATCTTAATGTTGAGCGTGTTCAGGGTGCTGTAGATGCTCTTGTGTTAGGTTTTGAGTGAATGTGGCCGTCGCCGTCGTCGTTGTTGATGCTGTCGTATTCTTTTCGTTCATGATCGACGTTGCCGGTGTTGTTGTGGTTGAAGCCATCGTTGTCATCGTCGTTGTGGTAGTGGTCGTCGTCGTTGTTGCTCGCTGTCAGCGGCACTGATGGCAGTGGGGGACGGGGGTGATGGTGGTCGTGGTGGCTGGTGGAGGTTGTGTGCAAGCGCGTGTGCGTCTGCATGCCATGCATTCACTTGAATGGTGCCACCTCGCAGTGTCGTTTCTTCACTGTGGCAGCTCAAGAACACATCTCTGCAAGGAGCTGTAAATCCTCCACCCTCTCAGGAAACACCAACACACATGCACACCTGTAGACAGATATGGACAGATAGAGACACATACATGCCCGCGACCGCCGCAAGCACGTGTACTCGAGAAACTTCAGTAAGCCAGCTACACGGAAGAACTCTACCTCATAGCCACCTCCGGCTGGTTGATCCAAGGTCTCCTGAATGGATTGCTAACTTGGAGTGGTTTTTCCTGGTGATCTATGTCACCGAATTATCTCTGCGCTTCTTCGTTTTCAGGCAGGGAGCTTCCATGCTTAAGGTTCGAGTGGGGAACCCCTCAACCTTAAAGGGGGTCTGACGGTTTAGGGATTTAGGGTTTAGGGTTTAGGGTTTAGGTTTAGTCTTGTGGCAGCCCGAATGATTCGGGGAGGTTTGTTCGTGTAACTGTGGCAGGTAGCTACTGATTAGGGTTGTGGTGACCAGATTGGGGTCGTCTTTGGTGAGGTCATTATGTAGAGTTTCTGCAAGTTTCTCAAGATCCAGTTACTCAAATGACAGGATTTGGGGCTTCATATAATATGGCTAGTAACCTGCTATCTACGTATCCCAGAGTCTTGGAGCGCAGAAGAGCATTCTTTTTGATCGGGAGCCTCTCTTGGGGTCGTGCTGTGTACAGAGGTCTGAGCAACCAGCACAAACGCCCCCCAGAGTCCTCATACCCAGTGAACCCAATCCCCCTTCGGAATACACCGCAAATCAGAAGATTAAGGCCCCTGTAATTTAAGGTATATTCCTTGATTAAGGTGTATTGGGTTCTCTGGGTACAACGTATAGTTTTGTATTTTGTATAGAACGACATGCCATGTGCGGCAGCCAGGGCTTGGAACAGTTCCCAAATGACACGAGAAAGGCTTGAGTATGTTTTACTTGGTCCCCGTAATGCTACCAGGTGTTGCAGGGTTCGGTGGATAACATAGGGGCCTTGATAATTGGAACAGGATTTTGTTTTGGGCCCATTATACCATGATTATGCTAGACTGCACCACCATCTATCTGCCAGCAGAGTCCCCCAGACATGCTTGAACTTCTGACACTAGCCTGAGAAGCCTTGCTGCAAAAGTGCCCGCAGCCCATCCGTAAACTACACGCAGGACCCTAAACCCAAGAACCCCAAACCCTAAATGCTCAGATGCTCCATCCAGCCTGTCCCTCAGCGTTTGCATACTAGAGGGGGCAGGCTGGAGCCCTTCAATGCAACCTTGGACCCTAGAGCGCGTTAATCCGAAACCGTCCGGGCTTGCTCGAACAACGCCTTCGCCGGAGAAGCAATGCAGGTTGCCCGTGCTTCGAAGCGTTGACCTCAGCGTCATATGTTTGGGCTTATAGGGTGTTGTTGCTTGCTTTTCTGTTTTGTTGGAGTGGAGCAGGTGAATCCCAGTCTGAGAGCTTAGCCGTTTGAGCCACCAGTAGTTCCATTATTGCCATCAAGGACCAGATGTCGTAGTCGCTGCAGCCTTTTCAGTTGCTGGTGCTGGTGCTGGTGCTGG